TCAAGGTATCTGAGAAATTTATGAGGCCAGTCAACTGGAAAGGAAATTGAAGAGAATTAGTTTATTATTATAATCTTATTTTTCTGTCAAGCTAACTATTGCAAAAAGCTGCTTATACGCTTAGTAGCTATTTCTGCAAAGAACACCCAAACAAAATAACCTGTTGTGTTACAATTGCATTGCAGGTTATAACTAAAAGTTGAAAATACATGTGTAGTGGTTTAATTTGCTCAGTGGTTTTCACGCAGTCTCCCTTGGTTTGATAAATGTGTTTCTCTAATCGAGGTAAATACAGAATCTTGACACAAACTTTAACCCCTTGTTTTGATTCAAGTTGTATAGAATTCAGAAGATACTAAGGATAAAGCAGATAAAATAGGTATAAAAATGTCACTTTACCTTAAGAATACTGCTATTTGTTTTCAGTTTGTTAATATCTGAAAATAGCGATGTCTGGAATACATACGATGAATATATTTAAGTTATTCAGAATAAAATCACTGAATATTTGCTATCGAGTTCTAACCATTAGGCAAAATAATTTTCAACATAATTTTCTACACCAGTCTGCCTACTGTTTTTTCCATTTGATTTCCTTTTTTAGTGTTAATCAAGTACAATGATTTTAATTACCTCACTTAGTAGATAGACTTTAAGTATCTTAGAGCATATGTGTCTTTGTCCTGTAAAATACTGGAGAGCTTCCATGTTTGGTTTACCTAATACAAAGAGAAACTACAGTTAGTTCCTTTTTCTGAATAGTGTACAACTTCAGAGGGACATTAGGGACGGGGAGGAGAAGTTGGGCTTTATACAGGGGCAGGAAGAGGTTAGGAAACTTCATGTGAGGACCAGTAGTAAACCATGATGTTAAGAAACTGAAAAAATGTAAGCACACTTTTTCTTTCTGCAGCGTGCCAGACAATTTCCAGCATAGTCCATTTCCTCCGCTTAGTATTGTGCCTCACACAGTGTGGTGGATGAGGTTGTAGGTTATGATGGTGTGACTAAGAGAAAACAACTAAGATGTGTTTTATGTTGCCAGCCAGAAATTCTCCATTCTAACAATGTGAACTTAACTGCAACGTCTTTCTGTGGTGACTTTCTAGAGCCTAAAATACACCAGAGGCTTATCTGTTTGGGGGAAGTAGCCCTTTAATCTAATATACAGTGCTGAAGTTGGGATATAAGGAGATCATCTTATCTTCATTGAATAAACAAAGTTGGTTTACTTTCTTAAACACTAGAAATTCACAACAAGTCTGTAAGAAAAATGGTTTAAAAGTTACTGTATGCTTTGTCAAAGCTTGGGTTTTTTTAAATGATATATATCAAGTTCTGTATATGAACCAGCTAAAAGAGGAAGTTCTTTGGAAATACTTGACATTAGCAGGAGTGTGTGACACTAAACCAGACTGAATCACGAGACCTATTTTAACTACAAATGTCTCCATTCTGGTTTTATTGGAAATATGCAGATAGGTATCTCTTCCTCACTAGATGAAACTTCTTGAAAATTGGTTAAAACTGAGCACAGTTTTAACGTTTCTTATACTTCCATCTAATAGCTTTATAATCGGAGTAGTAGATCAAGGGAGAGAGGCAGGGGAGTGGCACTGAAGTCCTAACGGAAGTGGAGGTAACAAGGTGGATTGTCAGTGTACACTTGGTGCTCTTCACTGCTCAATCTGTCCTTCCATCTGTTTATTCTTCTTGTGAAGAATTGCAGTCTCACATGATTGCTCTGAACAATTGCTAGCCCACAGTAAGTTTCATTGGCAACTATATGTAGAAGATATACTTCTCTTCTGCTAGTCCCACACAATTTTGTCTTGTTCCTTCAACAGATGCTTTTTATTTTAGATTTTACTGTGAACTTTATATTATCAGACTTCTCAACTTCCTGCTTTGTGAGCACAGAAGTCTACACGTTTGGGTTATGCAATGAGGTTGTGTCTAAGGCAGGACAAGGATGGGCCAAGACATGAGTCTGCTACTGAGGAGCAGCAAGGAGAGAGAAGGCAGCCCACTGCAACTGGTGCATTGGCTATAGACCAGGCATGCTACTCCAGTGAGCTCCATAAAGCTAGGAAGACAGGTAGGAGCCATGCGTATGAGTCTCACACACAGTGCAAAGTGCCATTCTCCATTTTAGCAGTGTCCATATATTATAAAGCCTTTCTTTCTGATTAAATGCTCTGGAATGACTTGCTCTTTACAACAACCTAAAAGGAGGTTGTAATGAGGTGGGTGTCGGTCTTTTCCCAAATAGGACAAGAGGAAACAGCCTTAAGTTGTGCCAGGGGAGGTTTAGATTGGATATTAGGAAAACTTTCTTCACCAAAAGCATTGTCAAGCATTGGAACGGGCTGCCCAGGGAAGTGGTTGAGTCCCTATCCCTGGAGGTATTTAAAAGGCGGGTAGACAAGGTGCTTAGGGACTTGGCTTAATGGTAGACTTGGCAGTGTTAGGTTAATGGTTGGACTTGATGATCTTAAAGGTCTTTTTCAACCTAAATGATTCTATGATTCTATGACTGGCTGTCTCTGCTTAGAAAAATACAAGAATGCTTTTGCTGATGCAGCTACTAGTTGGTGCTTGCAGTACACTTTCCCTTCTGAGACAAACAAGTCCCAAAGTACTGACACTAAAGACATGCTGCTGCTATCGCTTTGCTGTATTTTCTATCTTGAGTTGATAAGAGAATGATTCTGTTTGCGGTTAATGTGTTCAGACACATGTCAAGATTTGTCATACATTCAAGGAGATGTATATTTTCCTATCACCACTTTGTTTTGTTCTTGTGACTTTTTGAACCTGCTCAAGATGAAAACATTAGGCCTTAACAAAGGACTGTCAGTGATAAGAGTGAGCAGAGATCAGTAGCTGGGAGAGAAATTTGGAAGAAGTGAGGGAGTGCTGGTGTGATGTTGGACAAAATATTTTGAGCAGGAGCACTTTCCCTGCCTGGTTATACCTGTGCAACCAGGAATGCAGAATCCCTGAGACTAAAGAGGGGGCCTGGCTCCATAGCCTAATGATACGAGGTGGGTGGAAGGAAGATAATTTGTAGGTTCTGGTGCTGCTTGTGCATTTTGCGTCTAAGAAATCGTCAGATTAAATGTGTACATAACATTTGCAACCTGGTTCAGTAATTCTTGCTCCCAGAAAAATGACCTTCCTGGTAGCCCTAAATCTAGGTTTTCTTGAGTGAGGAGCCTGTCTACATAACTCTTTTGGGACCAGGTGGTTAGCCACTGCGGGACCTTCTTGCTAGGTAGATACCCCAAGTACTACATACCAAAAGCAAATGAATTGCAGAAGTGATAGGAATTTTCCTCCACTTATCCTTTGGCAACTATAGTTCTATCTTAGTTTCCAGTTGATGTGCGCAAGTTTTGGTCGTGGGCTTACAGTCATCTGGAAAATTTTCACTAGAGCTGAGGAAAGAATTTCTGAGGTCGTGAAGAAGCTTCCTGTTCCAGTGCCCTGTCATTCCTGGAGTCCTGTCAGGACCTTTCTTTGAATACAGAAAATGTTTGTTAAACGCAGCCTTCACTATGATGCCAGAGTTTATGGCCTTCCTCTTATCCCATCCCAATTACCTCCTTCCTCATTGCATGAAAAGATTGAAGGGGTTAAGGGTAGTATAAAATTGTTCTTTCTCATTTTAGAGTGGTAGCCTGTGTTTGAAGTAGCATCCAACCCCGAGAGCAGTCATAAAATGAAAGCAAAATAAAATGAAAATCAATGTTTCTCAAAGCAAAATGTGTTTTTGCTAAAAGTCTTGTTATCTTGCTAGATAATTAACAATAACCTTGTAAATAATCTGAAAAACATCCCCCTCTCAAGGAAAGTTGCATTTTCCTGTACTGTCTCCCTTTGTATATGCAGCAATGCATTGGGTATGTTTATACTAATGTCAGTGAGATAAAATAAATATCCACAAATAAATAGCCCAGGTGTGGAGTTTCTACATTGCTTCTAGCATAACTGCATTGTTTGGGTATGTTTACAGATTGTCTTGGGTTTATATCTCTTCCTGTTCATTTCACTCTGTTGTCACAGCATAATTCTTGTGGCATAACAGACAATAAATAGTCACGAATACTGAAACATGGCATAAAGCAGAATGCAGACTCGGGGTTTGTGGAAAGAACTTTGGCCTTCCTGCTGGACCACTTTGGTTGCAAGTGCTAGGGCTTTAAAGTGATGGCTGAGTGATGACTGCAGATCATTAATGGGGTACATGGATTTCTGTTGCTCCTTCTGAATCTGAAACGAAATCAAGCCCCAAGGCAAGCACAAGTGTGAACGCAGGGAATGGGTATTCTTATAGGTGGGAGAAGTGCATCACAAACACTGGCTTTTTCAGTATCACAGTTTTTAATGAACTGGATTTTGAACTTTTTTTTTCCCTCCTACAAGGTAGATGGGATCCTTTTGGAATAAGTCTGTGCATACTCTTAGATTTAACTTCAAATCAGCTGTTTTGCTTTTGTTTTTACTGGAAGGAAAGACTTGGGTGGTAGGGGCAGAAGCCTTAAGGGGCTTGTATTTTTCAGGAGTGTTTACAGTGCTTCAGCATCATCAAGGGCAGCCGTAATCTTCTCAGATCAGCGTGCAGCATACCCTGACCAGTTCCTTTACTAGAAATGAAAATTTTGTTTTAATTTTGACCTGTTTGAGAAAGGGTTGCCTGGTTTGGGCTCAAATTCTGAAACAAACAAAAAAACCCATGCAGCTTTCTGAGTCACAGGCAATGCAGTACACAGATTTAAAAAAGTAATAGTCTGTAGTTATGGGGAAGTTGGAGGTAAAGAAATCCCCTGTTCTTTCTTTGATTCTTGACTGAGAACTCTGGGTAAACACAATAAAAAGAGCTTTAAAAAACAGAAAGACCAACTGCTATCTGCAGCTAAATACAAAGTAAATACAGTGTATTTTAAGCTTTTTGGGTTTGTTTGGGGTTTTTTTTAACATTTCATTTTTGGTTTTAGGTTTCTGGGATTTGCTACAGCAGCAGTATATTAAAAGTTCATCAAATTCTTTGTGTACCCAGCTGGGTAGCAAAGATATTTTCTTGGACTCTTGAACCAATCTTCTCATCTGCGGAACCAACGAATGAAGTTCGAGTGGGAATGGGAGCAACAGTTGACATCCAGAGGCAGCAGAGAATGGAGTTACTGGATCGTCAAATCATGATGTCTCAGGTTGCCCAAATGAGGCGGCAAAGGCAGCAACAGGTATTGATATACATTCTGTAAGGGTTGTATGAAGTTATAGGAAAAATACATTTTTGGCTCATACCTCTTTTGTGGTTCCTGTTTCTTAAAAAGAATGTATTTCTTTATTCTTCTCCATCACTGTTGTACTCCTAATAGCCATTTAAGTGTTTTATGTAGCTTTATATGTTAAAACTGCTTCATAAGATGTAAGCAGAATGTCAAACAATCCTGTAAGGATATCGGTACTTCTGGCATTCTTTCACCAAAAATGAGGCTGAAAGGTAAAGTGATTGTGTCTTGGTGGTCTTTCATAAGAGCTGTTGTGGAAAGTTAAGAAATCAAAATGCTCCTGGCTTTTCTGAGTATTTGTATTGTTAACATTCTTTTCAGAGAGGTTGAAAATTGCCTATGTAACTCTTTTGTTTTCAGATGTACTTTGGATAAGGCTTGTTTCTTTTAAGAAAGTTCAGAAATTAAATTCTCTAACCTTCTTACAGAGGTCAACCACAGGGACTTTCTGTTTGCCGCATTTAACGTTCTTGTTTTATTTCCTTATTGACTAGAATAGGAGAGCCTTTTTATTTTCTCTGTTTTAATCAAACCAGCAAAGGCAGATATTCACATACTTTGCGTTGTATGGCAGTAAAACAAGGCAGATGGTGCCTCAATTCACTTTTTCCTGTTTCTTAGACATATGTGTTACTAGCAGACAACATAGGCCTTGCATTGCTCTATGTGAACATGTATTGCTCATAATTTAATTACAGCCTAGCAATTTGAGGTCGTCACTGATTTTCCCCTGCCTGAAACACAGCCCTGTACTGATACACGAGTTCTCATTGTGTTCGAGGTAGTCTAGTGCAAGCAGATAGAGCTATGTTGCTGTTAATTTGTTGCCAGATTTAGAGGTGTGATGGCCAACAACTTTGGCCAACAGCTTTGGCCAACAACTGGACTATGAATCTTTGTTTCCAGTCCCTGATTTGGTTTTCCTTGATTTCTTAACATTTCAGTCTGATTAAATCATTCCTCAGGTGGAAGGATCCTAATCTACTTTTCTCTATTCCCATTAGAACATTGGTCAGTTTTCACATAAGAACTGAACCAGAAATTACTCAATTCTTGAGCTTTGCCGTTGTAATAGAAAATGAATTGAAAGTGTCTGTTGGGCTACGAGCTGCTGGGAAGAGTGCAGCCAAGTTTCTTCAGATAAGAGGAAGAAGCCGTTTCCAGTTATGAAGAACAATCTTTATAATATATCTTTAATTGCAAAAAGTGGTAAATAAGTTCAGAACGGTAATGATAAAAGAAGAGTTGATAACATTTTCTGCTCAACTTCTCTTTTCCTTAGGCTATGAACAATGAAAGTGGAAAAATGTCTTTTCATGTTTGACTTCAAATAGAGTTCTTTAAAAAGGTGGAGGGGGTTAAGTAAAATAAATGAACATTGTTTGAACACCAGTAAGATGCTTCCCTTTACAAGTTGCTGAAACATTTTCAAGTTACCTTCATGTTTGGCCTTTAACTTGAGCACAGCATTTAGTTAACTGTTAGTGCTAATCTGTGAAACCAGCGATCAGAAGGCAATGGGATCAATGTATGAATGTTTCTGAGAGGCTCTTCGGAAAAGATGCGTCATGAAAGCTTTTCACCAGAGTTTTTTTCAATGATTCACAGAATTTACTGGCCATCAACTAAATCACAGAAAGCATCATTCACAAATGTTGAGATGTAGTGGTAAAAATGAAAAGCAGGCCAATTTCCGTCTCAAAATAATATTTAAAAAATTGAAAACCATTTTCTGGATTGCTGTACTTGGGCAATTCTTTTGCCTTTAGGGCCTTGCAAAGGTATAATTTGAAGACAGTGGAGTTGAACAGATCACATTACAGATGGAATGTAATTTAGATGATAATTTTACCGGGGGG